CCAGTTTTAGATTATTTTCCTTCTGTTTCTTTTTTACATTGAACATTTGAACCATAAATCTTTCCGCTTTTGGAACAGAGTCAATTTTATATTTTTTATCCTGGTAATTAAAACTCAGCCCTTCCGGGCTTCTGACTGCATTGTGTGTGTGTGTGGTTTTTTTTTTTTTTAAAAACACATTGCTTTGGCAGCAGCTGGCACCACAAGCACAAGGATCTTCTTTGTGTGACTGAAGTTACGCTATGGCAGCAAATTTGTGGCTGGCTCTCCATCCTGCAGCAGCCATTTTGTGTCAGCCATTTTGTGGCTGTACCTACCACACTGTGTCAGAACTCCAGAGGTGCCCATAGGCTCAAAAGGGTTTCGGACCCCTGCAATACACCATGAAAGACTGTAGCCAGAAGAGAAAATTAAGTCCCCAGGCCAGGGACTTGCTCAAACACTTTAGGCAAGAAGAAGAAGGAGGAGGAGGAGGAGGAGGAGGAGACTGGATTTATACCCCGCCCTTCACTCAGAGTCTCAGAGCATCTTACAATCTCCTTTCCCTTCCCCTCCCCACAACAGACACCCTGTGAGGTGGGTGGGGCTGAGAGAACTCTGACACAAACTGCTCTTTTTCAAGGACAGCTGTGCCAGAGCTTACAACTGACCCAAGGTCACATCAGCAGGTGCAAGTGGAGGAGTGGGGAATCAAACCCGGTTCTCCCAGATTAGAGTCCGCACACTTAACCACTACACCAAACTGGCCCTTTAACATTCCAACTGGCATATGTAATTTATACTAGGGTTGACAGGTCCTTCTGGAAGCGAAGGGGATGTCCCCAACATGATGACTTCACAAAGAAGTGATGTCATTACTTTGGGGACCAGTGCCCCATGCACCTGCACTCCAAATGGCAAATGCGCCCCTTGGAGTTTAGCCCCCCCCCACTATCCCTCCATCTTCCACTGGTGGCCAGGGGGGACCTAGAAACCCTACTCTACCCATCTATTACAGCAATAGTTGTTTTGCTTCTGGATCTTCTGTGGTACAATCTGAACTTCTATAAACCCCTGTAAAATTAGATTTACCAAAACAGAATCAGGACATAAAAAGGAACCTGTGTCCAGCATGACATGGATGTCTTGAACAATGCCACTTTCAAGGCCCTGGAAACTATGATCTGTGCATAATTCCCAAGCCCCCACCTACAGGCTCTGAGTGCAGCTCCAATGATAGCTCTGAGCTGGTGATGGACAAGGATTCAGGCTTAGTACTGAAGAAAATATATTTGGACCAGCAGGACTGAGCCTTTGCCATCTGACCTAAAGGGCTGCAGCCCCAAACTTCTCAGCCTCCCCTTTGTTTTCTTTCCTCATCTGTACTGTTCCTTTTAAGCAGACAAGCAATTATATAACCGGCTCTATGGTGAAGGAATTTGTAAATCAACAACACTCTAAGTAAATGAGCAAGTCTCCTTTATGAGAGACTTAAGCACAGTTAAAGTTGCTGGCTCACTGCACAAAATGGCACCTAGAATGTCAATGAATGAAAGCTACAGAGAAACTTATTAGCAGTGATATTTCCTAGGACGCTGGTATCATGCTCAATATTAGTTCTAACCCAGTGGTTGCCTCTACAAAAGCTTATTGTCCCCTAATGGGAAATCTACAAGGCGAGTTTCACTTCTTTATTAAAAATCAACAAGCAAAGGATGAAAAAGCTGTCCTGCTATACAGGCTCTCTCTCAACTCACACTCACACTTTCATTTCAGCTACTTAAGTACCATTGTGAGCCAATTCATCATCATCACCATTCTATCCCCCTCCCCCTTCCCGTTGAAAGGGGGAGGGGAAATCCCTTCTGGCCCGGAAAGTGCAGAATGTGACAGCTACTTAAAAATCACCCATGTACGAAATCAACCAGAAGGAAATGACCTTTTCAAGTGTGGTCTTTAGACAGATGGGATTACACCGTCCAAAGAGCAGCTATGGGGAGGAGGTACTTAGCCTCAATTAAACCCCTCTAGCCCTCCGTTTCTTCTTCCTCAATTCTACCTTCATAATCATATGACGAGGACAAGGAGAAGCTCAGTCAATCCTTGTGGCAACAAGGATCTCCCCCCAACTTTGGTCAATAAATTGCTGCCACTTACAAGTCAGATCTGATTAGGCTGAGGCTAAGATGGAAAGGTTATCAAGAAAGCAGAATCCATGGCTGCTACTTTCCTTGATCTTTTGTTGAGTCACAATGCTTGTTGCACTTTGACAATCTGATTTAATCCTGCTGTGTAACAGCAATACACTAACTCTGTTACCAATATATGTGTGTACGTCACCATTCCTGATAAGAATGTTTGCATCAGGATTCAGGACGACGACAGCCACCCGTTTCAGCTGGGGACAGCTAGCATTTGAAAAATAAACAGCTGGCTGTGATTGATTCAGTGACTGATAATTTCAGTCACTTCAAGTGCTAATGTGCATTAGATATTCATGTCAGAATCAGAGCTCTTTGGTTTCAGGCACCTTTAGATCTTTTGGGGAGAGAGAAAGAGAGAAAAAAAAGCAAAATAATATTCTTTGTTTAATCCTCTTGAACTTCACATAGAAGGAAATGAAGTCATTCTCCTGTCAGGTGCCTGTTGGTCTTTTCCCTACCCCCCCTCTGCTGTGCACAGACCCCCCCATTTATGAAAGACTTGCTTATAGGGACCTCCTGAGGCTGGCTGTCAATGCTAGAACACTGGAACAGAAAAGGAAGGCAGTTCGGCTACCAGCAAGGGGGCCATCATCATCACCAATTCAAATGCAGCATCAGATGGCTTAATCTATTCCATACCCTGCTCCATGATTCCAGCAGCTGCATCCATGGGTGGGGAAAAGTGCTCCCAGACATCATAGTCCAAAATGAAATTCTAAGCATTGCTTCACATGCCTTTTTTCTTTAAGAACAGGGGTACATCCACTCTCGTTTTAACCAGATATGAGCATTTCGAAGTGAAGCAGGAGCTCTGTATTTCTCCCCACCCCAAAGATTCCTATCAAAGGCATTGGGGGGGAAGGGAGTAATTGTCTCCTCCAGGTATCTGTGCATTTTTTACGTATACATTTTATTAGTGACATTTCCAAATTTGCTCTAAACAATACACAAACAGCTATAAGGTAAAGGTCCCCTTGCTCGAAAGCCAGTCAAATCCGACTCTAGGGTTGCGGTGCTCATCTCCGTTTCAAAGCCGAAGAGCCGGCGCTGTCCGAAGACGTTTCCATGGTCATGTGGCTGGCATGACTAAACACCAAGGTGCACGGAACGCTACAAACAGCTATACATGCTGTCAATTTTCCCTTCTAGTACTAAGAAAACCAACAGAAGTGGAGCCAAAGTGCTGGGGGGTGGGGGGGCAGTCTGGTCAAGATTCACAGTCAGTTGTCTAAATCCTCACCTGGCCCTGGATGTCTCCATCAAACTACCGTAACACATTCCGTATGTTAGTTTTATGATAATTTAGCATAAGAGTAAATCATCTTTTTTGCGGGAGCAAGAGATTTGGATCAACAAAACTCTATGCATGTGCAATACTTACTCTGTTTTATCAAGAACAAAAGTACAAGGGGACTCACGTCCTTTCCCCTGAACAGGAAAATACACAATGGGAAGGTACCGTGGGAAACATTGCTAATACTTACAAAGACCTCGATGGTGATGGGGACGGTGCTGTTGAGTGCTGGGATACCTGCATCCTTAGCTATTACAACTAAGTAAATAACGCCATTGGAAACTTGCTCATAATCCAAAGGTCGGATAACACTTATCACTGAAAAGGAAAGATGCCTATGTTGTTGATTACTGACATTAGACATTAACAAAAACTTCTGAATGTGAGGCACTGCAATGCACTGGATGCCCTTACCTCCATATCCTTCAGACAAAGTGATATCAAAGTAACTTTGGAATGCTGAAGCATTGACAATGCTGTAGGTGATCTGATTGTTTGGAGGAGAATCTTCATCTGATGCCTAGGTTAAAAAGAAAGAAATGCCTTGATGTTGCAGACCAGCAGATATAATTCTCTGTTTGGACATCTAGGGAATAGGCTCTTGTAACTATGTAAGTAAATAAGTGTTCATACCAGCTGTTTCCCTAGATATGTCCAAGGAAAACCAAGTGCAGTTTACACCATTATGGGAAGAGCTCACTGCTTAACATTGCAGTTCTGAATTTGGTTGAGGGACAGTTACTTTTTCAATAAAGAGGGACTAAGTGGGCTAGAATGTTAAAGACAATATATGAATAGAAGATACAAGAGCTATTACCCATCTCCTCAGGAACAGGTCTTCTGATTATGAGGGGAATGACTCTGCCACTTGAAATAGAGGGCTGGAGCCCTTCCTAACTAATGAATCTGCTCCTAATGAAGGGCTGCAGAACACCAGCTGGCTGAAGAGTGCCCTAGCCAGCCGTTTTGAGGGACAACATGAAGCCTTTCCCCCACCTGGGCCCACGCCTTATTTCTCCTCTTTGCTGGTGGAAACTGTAACTTTACAGGGAGCCAAAGCAGAATGTTTGGGAAGGAGGAGAAGTTTATCAGGAGGGACCTGTGTGGTACAAACACAATCTTAAAATAACACACTAACACTGCACATACGCCAGCTGTTCTAACAAGTCTGCGAGAAAATGTGATTTTTATCTCCTTCCTTGGGGAAAAGCTTAAGATTGTATCAGCAAGAAACAGGTCAATCACACAAGCCCTGCCATCCTCTCAGCAGTAGCTGTCGACTTTTCAGAATGGTACAAAATGAGAATAATGTGGGTAATGAGACTGTATTCAGAGGAATCATTTGGTTCTAGTGAGCATATGCTCCTGATTCGGCATTTGTATGGGTGAAATGATGTGAAATTCTTTTGACTTTCCCTCTCCTCAGCTCATTGCTTTGTGTATACTTGGATAGCTTGTCAATGCTCACGCAGCTTTTGTCATGCCAATGAACGAGGCTGAAGTGAGATGTGCTCTCATCGCAGGCATTTCAAACGTATCCAAAAGGAAGCCTGCTTCTGTCAGTCAGGCTACGCTACGGCTCTATTTAGTTCACGGTCCAGTCAGGCTACGCTACGGCTCTATTTAGCGGAGTGTTCACGGCCTCCTACAGGATTCACAAGCAGAGAAGATACAGGCACTCGGAGGTAATGTAGCTCTCCCTACTTTGCATGTCCTTGTTATTTAGACAAATTATAACATCCTTCCAAACCCGTCACAAAAATGAAGACCATCTTAGAGGATTTCCTGATCACTTGCAGAGTAATGAAATCTGATGCAGTCAATAGGGTTGCCAATCCCCAGTTGAGGGTAGGGGACCCCCTGGTTTGGAGGCCCTCCCCCACTTCAGGGTGATCAGAAAGCCAGGGGGGGGATGTGCTGGGTGCTCCATTATACCCTATGGAGAGGGGTCTCTCCGTATCTGGGGCTTGGGGGGGCTGTTTTTTGAGGTAGAGGCACTAGATTTTCATCATAGTACCTGATGCCTCTTCTCAACCCCTCCCCAATTCCAATTATATGAGCCCCAAAAGAAGGTGGAGGGAAGGCATTTAAAAGTAATGTGGTCCCTTTAAATGTGATGGCCAGAACTCCCTTTGGAGTTCAATCATGCTTCTTCCCTCCCCTCTCCCAGAGGCTCCTGGAAAGTCCCTGCCGGCTTGTCAGCCTCACCTGGCAACCCTAAATGGTACCAGTGTGTATGGCTTGGGCAGAGAATGAGTTGAGAGCAACCACTGTGTTAGAAGCACAGGCTCCTACCATGGAATCACAGGAACCTTCTGGATGTGGGGGGTGGACCTGGAAGTAAAATCACAGAATCCTTGCTCCTCACTCCACTCCCAGAGTCTCCCGACTTCACCCCCAAAGTCCCCAGATATTTTATGAGTCAGATCTGGCAACCCTAGTAGTAAATCCTGGGCAATGAAGGGCTTAGCTACACGTGACATGCACCACTAGTCATCGGGAGTACCCTTACTTAACTCACAGTCACACATACATTGGGGGACTCAACTTAAAGCATTTAGTTGCTTGCTGTGGCTTGGTGGGCAGCAATGGGGGAGGGGCTTCTACTTTCATGCCTGTGATGTCTTCCCCAGTGGAGTAGTGGGCTGCCCCTTCCTCAAGGTCCACATGTTCTCAGTCACATGATCCCAGGTGTATAAGTTCCTGCCCTCACACCTGTCCAGGAATGAGGGGGAAACCTACACTTTACAATAACTTAAACAATAATCCAGAAAGGTATGTTACCCTCTCTGGGTTTCAGAACAAAAGCCACCAGAACCTTTTTTAACTAGAGTCCCCTTCCAGCCCAAGAGCAAGGTTCAGACTCTTAGCTGGCCTCTGGGACTTAACACATTAGCAACTCTAGCTCAGAGATGCACTTAATCTTACATAGGTAGCATGCGGCCAGCTAGACACAGGAGTTTAGCCTTGAGATCCAGTTACAACATCAGACAAGTTAGAAAACCAGGATAAGTTTATTCAGCACAGAACTTAGCAATTAGACTACAAGGATTTCAAAACAAGAAAACTTATGGTTCTTGGCCCTCACTAAACATTGAAGAGATCTACATAATTACCAGAGATGATCTATAGTCCAAGATTGTCCAGTGTTATAGTCCAGGTACTATCTTTGTGCAAGCATGCAGCCATGTGCTCAGCCTCACAAAGGAGTTCTTTGTCTCTCCCAGAGATAGCATGGCAAGACAGCATTTCAGGTGTCCATCCGAGATCT